GGGGCTTGAGCACCTGCCCTTTTTCTTCCTCGAGAGAAAGTGCCCTTTTTTCTGGGGACTGTTTTTTTTAAATAAATGAATATATGTATATATATATATGTGTGTGTATGTGTGTGTGTGTGCGTGTGTGTGTGTATATGTATATATATATATATGTTATTCTTTTGTTATATTTTATGTAATTAAATAAAATATAATATACTTTTATTATATTTACAATCTGTGATATACAATCTGCTTTTTTTTTTCTCTTGTTCAGCTCGCTCCAGAGAATTCTCTCCTGTCGTTCAACAGAGCTTTGCAGAGAAATGTTAGTGGGTTGGAGGCGGATGTGACCATCAGGTATTCATACATTCATTCTGTCTGGTTTTTCACCTCTTGGTGAAAATCATTAGGTTATACAAAGCCATGTGTATGTGTGTGTATCTAAAGGCACAAGGACACAGTGTGTATTTCAAAGTGTGAATCCTTGTGTGGCCGTGTGAGACTGCTATAATGAGAGGTTGGCGTGACGTCTCTTAGCCCAGTGAGTGCATAGTAATTGAACGCTGGGATAGACAGGAAGACTTTATAAAGAAGCCCCCTTAAGCTATAATCTACTCTGCCTGCTTAATACACATCTTTAGATAATGGTGCCGAAATTGTCCATCTGTTGGGTTGTAATTTATCTTGGTTAAAGACAGTCAGCACTCAGGCTTTTTAGATTGCGATATCATCTCTTGTCCATTTAGACTGTTTCTTCACTGTTTCTTCATTTTATTTGTGTATACAAATACAATTTTGAGTACCAAAGAAAATAATTTCATCTACAGTAAAAAAAAAAAAAAAGTAAATAAAGTTTTAAATAAAAATAAAATTATTATAATTATTTTTAAATATTAAAATATATTATAGGGCAATATAATTGTAAATTATTGAAATATAGTATAATAAAATTTAAGATAAGATAAAAAAAAATGTGTCCCTCATTTAAAAAGGCAAGTAATTTCTGTAATTATTCCTTAGACAAATCCCTAGTTGAAAATAAAATTGCATCGCGCTTGTCAAAGGAGGGGGCTTTGTAGAAAACGAAGCGTTTGAGAGAGGCGGGGCATAGAGGACCTACAATAATGTACAGTATTTGAAAAATAATGTGTTTTTTGAACATTAAAGCATGTCAACATATTCTGTTACACCAAATACACCAAATAATGATCTTTAAAAAAGCATCATATGACCCCTTTAAACAATAAAATGGTTTAAATTTGGGTCATCCACCTTGACCATTGTGTTGCCAAAAAAAAAAAAACAGTTGAGTCAGTTATCAAAAAAAGCTTGTAAAGATGCTTTGGAACAATATATATTGTGAGAAACACAACAAATATTTTAAATTGAAAAGGAAGTCTTGTGGGCCATCACTGCATTGTGATAGGTTGTTTCAAGCCACATATTACTAAGATTGGGAACATCTGGTTTAAAATGAAATAGGTTAATGTGACTTAGAGGTTAAGTATCTTGGCTTATAACCTAAAGGTTCAATCCCTAGATCGGGTGGTTCACAGTGTACTACCTTTGAGCTCTTGCAAGGCATTTAGCTTAAGTTGTTAAAAGCATCTGCTAAATAAATAATAATGAGTTGCAATAATACTACTTCTATTGCACAACATTCCCACTATTCAGTATGTGTATTCAGATGTTTTTCTGTCAATCACAGCGTAAGTCAGCTCCTCACTTTTATTCTCTGTCTCTTATCATTGAATATTACCCAGCAGTGCTGGCAGGTTGAGCTCTAATGGAAGCATTTTCTCAGTCGCAATCTAAGTGCTGTCTAAGCACATACACTGCTGTGTAACACTGGCTTCGGCTGTAGTCTAGATGGTGTGCCGTTCCTCATGAGAGACCGGACGTTGAGGAGAACCACAAATGTGAGGAGAGTGTTCCCAGAGAGACAGTATGATGATGCTTCACTCTTCAACTGGACTGATTTGAGCTCATTGAACGCTGGCCAGTGGTTTCTAAAGGTATGGCCCATTTTGGCTCTGAACAAGGTCTACAGTACAGCTGAAATAGTATGTAATGGTGTTAGTAATTTGAATTTATTTATGGTAACACTGAAGAGTGATTTTATATTTAAAGGATGTACACACAAAAAGATTTTTCTTATTTGAAATAAGAGTTCAATTTGCTACACTAAAATGAATTTTAGAAGTTTTAAATAAAGATTATTAGAGTACGTTTAACAAGAAAATACTATTTCAGTCTTTCTACTTCAAAATTTCATGTTTAAATCAATGTGGTACTTGCTGTTTCTTTGTAATTAATTGTGAAATTTACTAGCAATTTCTGAATGAATATTATTTCTATGCCATTTTTCCCCAGTGTGTGTAAATGTGCTTTAATATTCACGTAAAGCTTCCTCTCTTGACCATTTATGGAAATGATGTTGCAAAACAGGTCAGCACGGCACCCCTGCTCTCGACAGACGGCACCCCGGTTGGGAAACACTGACTTAGAACAAGTCACAGTTATGATGTCAGCACATTAACATATAGAAATCTTAAAGGTACAGTAAGAAAAACAGTGTATTTAATTAAATGTAAAGGGTCCATAAAACTAAATTATATCTTTTTTTATGTGCAAGAAACCTTTTGCTCCAGGTATAAGTGGACTTCAATACTAATGTAATATGCCCCTTTTAGATCTAACAAGTCATCAATTCAAAATTTTAACTAAATTTCCTTGTTTTCTTCTGACTTTAAAAGTGTGATCTTTTACATTAGGACTGTATAAGTACATATATCAGCATATAACTCTTTTTACTGAATGCAGGATGATCCCTTCTGGACAGTGCAGTACATGTCAACGTCCGAGCGCTGGTCAGTGGGGAACCAGACAGTGTGCAGCTTGGAGCAGATGCTGAAACTAGCGGCTAGGTCCAAGAGCTCAGCCCTATTCACTCTGCACAGACCACCGCCCAATCACCCCCACCACCACGACTGGGTCAATCTCACCCTGGACACTGTTCTGAGGTCAGGAATACCACAGCGGCAGGTTAGTCTTGAGGGAGTGATGCTCACGGTTGATGTGCTACTGGAAATCTCATTGGCCTTGGTCAGTGGTTGAATAGATGTGTTCAGGATATGATTCAGGATTCAAATCTGTTCCTGTTTTATGTGGTTGTATAGTAGCTCCCCCTAGCTGTGACTAATATTAAAGAGTTAGTTCACCCCAAAATGAAAATTCTGTCATTAATTACTCACCCTCATGTCGTTCCAAACACGTAAGACCTTCGTTCATCTTCGGAACACAAATTAAGATTTTTTATGAAATGTGAGGCTAATGCGAAGCTACGAGAATACTTTTTGAGCGCAAAGAAAACAAAAATAACATAATTTATTTAAAGCTGCAGTCCGTAACTTTTTTTGGTTAAACATTATCCGAAATCAATATTTGAGCAAGTACATAACCAGCCAGTGTTCGAAACTATCGCCTTACTTTAGCCCGATTCACAACGGTCAGCTTATAATAATGTTTAAACGTAGTAAGGACATCGGTAAAACAGTCCATGTGACATCAGTGGCTCAACTTCAGTTTTGCGAAGCTACGAGAATACTTTTTTAGTACAAAGAAAACAAAAATAACATAATTTCTTTAACAATTCTTCTCCCCCGAGTTATGTCTTCCGCCATTTTGGAGAGTACCCAAGAGCATAATCGATGTAATCAGCGTTGTTTACGTTCGGGGGAGAAAGCGCGCACATGAACATAATCTGTGTAATCAGCGTTGTTTACGCTTAGGGGAAAGCGTAGGTGGAAGACGTAACTCGGGGGAGAAGAATTGTTGAAAAAATTATTTTTGTTTTCTTTGCTCTCAAAAAGTATTCTCGTAGCTTCGCAAAACTGAAGTTGTGCCACTGATGTCACATGGACTGTTTTACCGATGTCTTTACTACGTTTCTGGACCTGGAAACATTACAGTTGCGTTGCTGTCTATGCAGGGTCTGAGAGCTCTCACATTTCATCAAAAATATCTTAATTTGTGTTCTCGAAGATGAACGAAGGTCTTACGGGTTTTGAACGACATGAGGGTGAGTAATTAATGACAGAATTTTCATTTTTGGGTGAACTATCCCTTTAATTGCATTATGGTTGTAATGTTAACCCTATAAATCCTGCTGTATTATATTTTATATACGCATTTCTAAGGCCTCTAAATGATCAACATGATCAAAACTTTGCTGAAAAACCTGTTGTACTGTGCTGTTTTTATAAAGTAAATGTAGGAATAAGTTTTTTATAAAAATAACTGCTAATAGTGTTAATAGTATTTCAACATGAACACTTACTGGACTTAAGCAACTTGGCTTTACTCGATTATCCATAGAAAAATCATGTTATAATTTGAGGATCAAATATGATACATCAGGCTTTCAGGGAACATTTATTTGTGATTATGATCTCTCAGTTATCATTGTATTGCATTGCATTATATGTTTTGCCATCAACAACAGAAACTACAAAGCTGTCATCATAAAACCAAGCATTTAAACTTACTGTCACGCAGGAAAAATTGATCTTATCATATTTGCATATTGTCTTACTAATACTTATTACTGGGAGATACAAAGTGACAACTGATATTTATATGCATTAGTCTGCTATACTGTTATAAATATCTCATTGATTTACATTACAAACTAATAGAATTTCGCCTTTATTTTTTGCCATAAAAATTTTATATATATATATTTATATATTTAAACACACATTTAAATTCAGTTTTGTGTGTTATGTGTAGGTGATGTGGACGGTGGACAGTAACAGGGAGATGGTGAGGAAAGCGGCTCCAGGTTTACAGCAGACAACTGTGCAGAAGCTGCCTCTCGACACACTCCATCATAAAAGCATCAGCAGGGTCCTGCTGCGCTACAACCAGGCCTCTGCGCAGGACATCTGGTAGGACACTGCCCTATTTACAGACACCTGGTCTCACTTAAAACATCTACATTACACCATAAAGGACAGTTTTGGAACAAAAGCTGCAGTGTCTGTGGCACTAGTGTAATGAAATGGAAATGCAAAAACCTGTAATTCTTTAGCCAAATACAGCAATTCATATACAGTATCTCTGTGTGTTTATTTTAATAGGCTGTATAATGAAAACAACATCAGTCTGACTCTGCATTCGGTGAACAAGCCGTGGCTGTATTCCCTGCTGTGGTGCAGTGGAGTGCCATCCGTCTCCTCCGAGGCCCCGCAGGTGCTGAGGAAGGTGCACTATCCGCTCTGGCTCATGGTACGAAGCATCATCTGCTTATAGCTTATTCATTAAGCAATGGCACAAAGCCGTCACGCTTTTCCAAGATATGTAATTGGTCAACATCTGCTGCTCTGGCCTTTATTCAAAATGAAAAGCATACTGCCTTTATTAAATTTTTTTCCTAGTATATAACACAAATCTGTTAAGGGGCAAATACATGATTGAGATAGTTAATGACATTTGTATATAATATATATTGATAATATTAACCTATTTAATATAGTATTAATGAGCATGTTTTAGATTTTATAATTAATTGTAAAAAAAAAAAAGATCTAGCAATGGCTGTAATATCTATTCTCTTGCACCACCTAGTGGTGTGTTTGCCTCATTAGCGTTTGTGTCTTTTTTCTAGAGTCCAGATGAGTACTGCTTGATATGGATCTCTACTGATCTCATCTCCTTTGCTGTAGTTCTGGGAATATTTATATTCCAGAAGTAAGTGTCCTCTTGTTTGGTATGCTGTGTAGATTATAGGGATAATGTTTTATTCAAAGTAAGACCTGAGATCTAGTTCAGTGTTATTTTTGGATTATTTACATGCTGTTCTAGTATTTATTAATATGTTGAATCAGATTTTATTTTTATATGATTTAATTTTTCATTTTATTTAGGTTAATTTAAGTCTAAGTGATTATGTTAAGTGCTGTCCTGCTTGTCCCTGTGTATAAAACTGGTTTAAAAAGAGAAAGACCAGAGACTAAGAGTAGTCTGAGGAGTCTACTGCATCTCTGCAAGGATGTCTGGAATGTACGTACTGGGATGTTTTTTATGACTCCTGCTTGGAAATAGCAGGATAAAATATTTCCAAACAATAAGCCGTGGTTCACGAAATCCCTGAAAGCACTTATGAATGAAAGATGTAGAGCATTTTACAAGGGTGGTTTGGCAAAAAGATTGGAATTGCAGAAAGAGATTAAAAATGGAAGTGAGGAAAGCAAAGTTAATTATTAAGTTAATTAAAGTTATAATTATAAAATAAACCTGGAGAAAGAGTTGAGTAGGAATAATCTAAGGTCAGTTTGGAAGGGGATGACGGTCACAACTGGATTTAAAGGGTGTGAGACTAAGAGAATTCAGTTACCTGGGTGTGACTCCAGCAGTCAATTGACTGAGGAATTAAATAGGTTTTATCTACATTTTGATGCGCCTAAATTTGGTCTTGTAATGGAGTCCATGAAATTTTAAAGTTGCAGTGGTGCCTATAATAATTTCTTTGATGAATCAGCTGTAATTAAGGTTTTTAAGGGTATGTAATATGACAAAAAGCCCTGGGTCAGATAACATTGGAAGGCGTTTAATTAAGGTTTGTCCTGAGCAATTGGCCCCAGTTCTGTAATATTTTTCAGAGGTCATTTGTTCTCCGGAGAGTCCCTAAATTGTGGAAACAGGCTACTGTAGTGCCTGTGCCGAAAACTACAAATGCTGGAACACTAAATGACCTTAGGCCAATAGCACTAACATCCCTTATAATGAAATGTTTTGAGAAATTAGTAAAAGAAGAATTGTTGGCTAAAACCAAAAATCTTTTAGACCCTCTTCAGTTGGCTTATAGAACAAAGCGAGGTGTCAAAGATGCAACATCAACTCTGTTAAATTTGGTATTAAAGCACATGGAAGAGGCCAAAACACACGTTAAGCTTTTGTTTGTAGATTTTTCATCTGCTTTTAATTCTTTACAACCTCGTATCTTAGCAGATAAGTAAATTACAAATTTTGGTCTTGATTTGAATTTAACTGACAGAACTCCGAGAGTGAGAGAGTAAATGGTAGTTTTTCAGCCCCCTTGATAACATCTACAGGAACTCCTCAAGGCTGTGTTTTGTCTGTTTTATTATATACTTTATATACAAATGATTGTATAAGTGTAAATAACAATAGGTATTTTTTAATGTTTGCAGACGATACAGTTATCGTGAGTCTTCTGGGAAATAATTAAACATGTCATGGTCAAGTGGTTGACGATTTTGTGAAATGGTGTGATGCTTGTTTGCAGCTGAATGTATCTTAGACCTTTAGATACATTTTAGAATGTATCACCCTTTATTAAGGGTGAGAAGGTGGAATGTGTGGAACAACTATTGATAATAGATTGTGTTTTGATGTGAATACAGAGGTATTATGTAAAAGAGGACAGGAATGCCTATATTGCTTAAGAAAATTAAGATCATTCAAAATAGATAGGACATTGATGGAATTGTTCTATAAGTCTTACATTGAGCCGTCATTGCGCTGTCCTTTTCCATTACCTGCTTGTTTGGAAATCTAAAAACATAAAAATACATTAAATCATAGGTAAAGAAGTCTGACATTTTTGTTCAACAGAAATGTTTTGAGTCACGATCTGTGCTCTGGACAGTGACCATTTCTTGTATCCAAAGTTTTCTATGCTCCCTTCGGGTTCTCGCTATAGACTACAAAGGATGAAAAGTAACCAATATAAATATCCGTTTGTCTCCTGTGCAATTCGGTTGTTAAACAGTTCTAAAGGAAATTTATAGGGACATTTATTTTTGATTGATATTTTTATGTATTCATGTTTTTTTAAGAATGTATCGTATGTGTCTGTTGTATGTCTGTTTCGCTGAATCCAAATTGCCCACAAGGGATCTTAAGAAAGCTTGACTTGACATGCTTTTGTAATTTTTACATATATTTTTAAAATATATATTATTTATTTAGCTTTATTTTTATTCAGTTTTAGTTATAGTAATTTTAGTACTTCAATTTATTTAACTTAATTCATTATTTATTAAAGTTAGTTGCCAAGACAACATTTCTAATTTTGGTTTATGCTTCGTTAATCTGATATTTTTATTTTTATTTTATTCCAATTAATGAAAAATATTTTTTTATCTTTTTTTTATACTTTTTTATTTTTTAGAAGTTTAAGATTAAGTTTTAGTTAACAATACAACTTTCAAAGTCCTTCTTTCCAACTTTCCAATACATGTACAAAATTTCTTTAAATTAAACTTTAATCTCTTAAAAAATCATTTAAATCTCATATACATTATGAGCAATAAAGTATTAGCAAATAAAAAAAAGTATTAATGTTTATGGAAAGAGAATCCTGTATGCAAATATTTAGTTTTTGCTACTAAAGAAATGTTTTTTAACATTTTAATTATTTTAATAATTTTATGTTCTGTGTGAACATAAAAACTTAAAATTTTTTATACTGCTTAAATTCAGTACAGTACAGTTTTGGTCTGAAAGAAAATATGACTGAATGTTGTAGTAATGAAAGCTAAAGATTGTTTAAAGTCACTTCTAAAACATTCTAGTAAACAAAAAATTAGCTTGGATTGTTTCACACAATCAAATAGTGTATTGTAGTTTCATCAAATGTAATCAAATACAGCTTCCTATTGGGAATTCACATTGTTTGACTTTTACAAAACAAATATTAATGCATCCTGAAAAATGATTACCTCCAGAGAGAGAAGGAAGGAAGGATAAGAAGAAAATGTGTTTGCATTGATGATGTTTTGCATTATATTGTTTAAAGGGGTCATATGATGCTGCTAAAAAGAACATTATTTGGTGTATTTGGTGTAATGAAATGTGTTTATGCGGTTTAAGGTACAAAAAACACATTATTTTCCACATACTGTATATTATTGTTTCTCCTCTATGCCCCGCCTTTCTGAAACGTCGATTTTACAAAGCTCATTGGTCTGAAAAGCGAGGTGTGCTGTGATTGGCCAGCTGTCCAGTGCGTTGTGATTGGCCGAATACCTCAAGCGTGTGATGGAAATGTTACGCCCCTTTACCATACTGTGATGCCGTCTCCCGGAGCGAGGAGACAAAAACATTAAAGCACATTATAAACGAGGCATTTGTTGCATCAAGTGGGGACATAATTATGGTGTTTGTTGTAAATGTTGTAAATACAACTTAACCACTGATTTCTAGTCGTGTCCTCTTTTGGAAGACCAAACAAGCTTTCACAAGCTTTCACAAGCGTCACACACGGCGGGCTAGAGTGAGGAACGGCTGGCGAGCTTGAGAACAGCACGGCCGGTGGATTCGACGAAGGAGTGGCCGGCGGGCTTGCGGTTTGCGGTAACCACATGTGACGACCCCGGGCTGGACTCCGCTTCGTCCACGGTGAAAGCCGATCCGGCGATCCACAGCGCGAAGTTGCAGTATTTCCTCAGCAACCAGCACGGATCAGCTCTAGGTATGATGAAGCAGATATCGTCCTCTTTTGGAAGAGCAAACAAAGTAATTTCGCTTTCACAACGAAACACACAGCGCCTTCACG